ACCCTGATTCACAACACTTACGGAGCTATGTGGGCTTCTCCCTTTGATTGTCAAATACAGACCATGGAAACGCAGGTGCTCACAGGAGCCATGTGGCCATGAGGCAGCTGACGAGGAGAAGGGGAGGGAACTGCTTCCCTCGGTGAGGCATAAGGCAGGGCTTTTAGAATGTCCAGGCCCTGGTGTCAGGGGACTTGAGAGGGAGCCGCCTGCCTCTGGGTCAGGTACTGGGGCCCCCAGGTGGCAATGCTGAGCCACCAACAGGCCCACAGAACCCTCCAGCCACAGTGGCAACTCTCCCATGGTGCTTATGGTCCTACGATGGGAGGTCCTGAGGCCTGTGGATGGTTCCTACAACCTATTGGGCTCAGAAGGCCAGAGCCCAGGACCAACATGGGCTCCTGGTCAGAAGGCCTGGCGTGGGAGTACCATCAGGTGTGCCAGCCATGCCCCTCATGACTGACCTTCCTGAGCTTCAGTGTCCTCCTCAGAATATGGGCTAACAGGTGCCATTGGGCAGATCAACTGGACTCAGTGCAGCTTTTTTTTTTTTTTTTAAGAATAGTTTGTTGATTTTTAGAGAGAGAGGAAAGGAGAGGGAGCGAAAGAAACATCAAAGTGAGTGTAACATTGATCATCTGCCTCCTGCATGCCCCCTACTAGGGATCGAGCCCACAACCCGGGCATGTGCCCTGACCAGGCATCCAACTGGCAACCTTTCAGTGCACAGGACGACACCCAACTGAGCCACACTGTCCAGGGCAATTGCAACCTTTTAATAGAAGACAGTTCTCAGCCTTTGAAGGGCAGAGTTATGGAATTAGTTGTCTCCCCCTGAATTTCATATGTTGAAGTCCTAACCTCCAGTACTTCAGAATGTGACTGTATTTATAGATAAAATCATTAAAGGCAGTTAAGGTTAAATGAGGTCATAGGGGTGGGCTCTAACCCAATATAATCATTGTTCTTAGAAGAAGAGGAGAATAGGACACAGGCACACAGAGGGAAGACCGTGAGAAGACAGAGGGAGAAGACGACCCTCTCTACACTAAGGAGAAGGCCTCTGAAGAAACCAAACCTGCTGATACCCTGATATTGGACTTCTAGCCTTCAGAACTGTGAGAAAATACATTTCTATTGTCTAAGCCACATATTTTGTGGTATTTTGTTATGGCAGCCGGTGCAGACTAATATAGGCAGGTTTTCCAACAGCTGCCTCTGTGTGAGCCTTTATTCCTCAGTTTCTTCTGAAGGTGTTTTCTGTCACGAAGTCACATGCTCAGGGGCCTCCCAGCATAGTGACAGGAGAACAGAATGCCTGTGCGGTAGAAACAAGCCTATGAATACAAGGACAAGACAAGTAAACTCATGCTGGACCTCACCCTCTTGCAAATGAAAACTACAAACTCTGGACAGAAAGAAAAATAATAACCCCCACTCATGTCTCTGGCTGACCCCTGAGCCACACATGCTTTTCCACAGACTTTAAGCAAGTTAGCTAAAATAAAATATCTGAACTGTGATTTGTGCTTATACTGAAGACACGGAGTTTTCACACTAAATCCAATTGTGGTAATTACTTCATAAAACAACAACAACAACAAAATCGACTCTCTCTGGGGGATTAGAACAGAATTCAGACTCTCCACATGTAACAGCCCAATACATGACATTCCAGGATGCAATCTAAATTTGCTCGACAGGAAGAAACAGGAAAATGTGACCCAATTTCAAGAGAAAAGTCATTCAACTGAGGACAATCCTGAGATGACTCCACGGTGTTGGAATTAGAAGACAATGATTTTAAATATTATAACTATACTTGACGAAGTAAAGAAAAATATGCTGGCAGTGAAAGGGGGGAAATAAATCTCAGCTAAGAAATTGAAATGATAAGAATATGAACTACATGGAAATACTGGAACCGAAAAAAATAACAGTATTTGATTTTGAAAATTCAGTGAATTGACTTACTACCAGAATGGAAATAAGAGTCAAGAGTTCGTGAACATGAATATAAATGATCCAATCTGACAAAGAAATAACACTCTGGAAATAATGGACAGAGCCTTGGGAACCCGTGGGACAATATCAAATGGTCTAACATCTATGCAATTTGAGGCCCAAGAAGAGAGGAAATAGAGAATGTGGCAGAAAAAGAATTCAAAGATCTAGTGATCAAGAAATTTCCTAAGTTTGACAAAACACAGGAATTTGAGTTTCAAAAAGCTCAGTGAACCCCAAACAGGATAAATAGAAATAAACCACACCTAAGCATCCTAACCAAACTGCTGAAAATTTTTTTAAAAAAGAGAGAGAAATCTTTAAAGCAACCAGAGAAAAACTATACACATTGTACACAGAGCAGTGTTATTTGAATGACTGCAGACATCTCATCAGAAACTATGGAGGCCAGAAGGCAGTGGAAGAATGTCTTTAAAGTGCTGAAAGAAAAAACTGTCAACCTAGGATTCTATAATCAGGGAGAAATAGTATTCCCCCAAAATAAAAATACTTTCAGATTAAAGAACACTTAGCGACTCTGTTGCTACTTATAAGAAATGCTAAAACAAGTTCTTTGAAGGACAATAAGACCAGTTGGAAATTTAGATTTTAGGGAGGTAATGCAGAGCAGCGAAACTGGGAAATATGGGTAACTATAAAAGAACTTCAAAATCTTAATCTCTTTGAAATACATAATACTGTTTGAATCTAAAAATTCCAATATTGTCTTCTGGGGTTTACCAGGTATAAAGGACTGGGGAGCAGTTGGACCTATACAGTTATAAGTTTTCTGTATTTTGCATAATGGTACAATGTTAACTCTAATAAGAATGAACAATTAAAGATGTGGGATGTTCTCTAAGATAGACGACCTCAGGCTGGGCCACATATCAAGCCTTAATAATCTAAAGGATTGAATTCATGCAGAAGATGTAACCTGACAATACGGAATCAAATTGGAAATCAAGAACAAGAAGATGCCCAGGAAACCTGCTGTGGTAGATAGAATCATGAATAAAACCCCACCCCGGGGTGTCCCGTCCTCATCCCTGTGGCCTGTGAATGTGTAAGGTTCCGTGGAAGGGGAATTAAGATTGCAGATGGGATGAAGGCGGCTCTGCTAGGCCCTAGAGATGGGGCTCCTGCCTTATTCCAGCGCCCTGTGTCATCACAGGGTCCTTGTAAGTGGGAGAGGGAGGCCGGAGAGGAAGTCTCAGTGACGTGATGTGAACAGGACTTGACCTGCCTCTGCTTGCTTTAGGGATGGAGGAAGCCACAGCCCAGGAGTGCAGCCACCCCTGAAGCTGGTGGAGGCAAAGATGTGGGCTCTCCCCTGGAGCCTCCAGAAGGGTGCCTGCACGTTCCCTCTGTGGTCCCCCGGGTCAGTCAGAGCCGAGGGCGCCATCCAACATCCAGGGAGACGATCTCCATTTGGCCTGACTTGCTCTGAGTCCACTTCCCGCCCTGGCCAGGTGGTGGGCCCAGGAGAGGTGGGCGGTGATGCCAGTGAGATCAGGCCCTGCCCTTGGGCTTGGCCGACCAGCTACTGCCCAGCTCCCTGCCCAGCATCCCAGGCTGCAGTGTAGCGCGGAGGCCAGGGCGGGCCATGCAGCAGCTGCCCAGGCTCCCAGGGTTGGGGTTGCTGCCATGTCTGCTGGAAGGCGGTGGGGCAGGACTGAGGGAGAGAACTGGTCTTCTGTTTGGGGTCATCGTCGTTTCTGTTTACCGTCAAGGCCCATAACCACACCTGGGAGTGGACAGCGCCGCGTGAGTCTGGCCCTCACCTCAGGAGTCTGTGGCTGTTAAACTTCACGGCTACGCAGCTGCCCCCAGACTCAGTCCGATCAGACCTGTTAGCACCATGGCTGCTCACCCACTTCCAGCTGACCCGAGGCAGAGCCTCAGCCAGCCTCCTGCCTCCTGCCGTCCAGGGGGCTGCTCACAGAGCCTCAGATAGGGGGGTGTCCCCACTGTTCCCAACGCCCAGCGGGTTTGCTGGAGGGAGCGAGAAGCCCCGTGGAGCTGGGCACCCAGCCTGGCTCACTGAGTCACCTGCTGTGCCAGTCACTGCCCAGCCCCCTCGTCACAGCCATCACAGCAACAGCCCTGCTTCTCATTGGGGCCCCACAAGCCCATGGCTGCACTCTCCCTTGGATATTTCAGTTTGCACACAGAGGGTTTTATCGCCCGGATTTGGTGCCCAAACTGCCTGCTGCCCCTCTGGTCACAGCAGCTAGGGCTGGAGCTCTGATCCAAACCTGAACGCTGGGATCGTTTGTGCCAATTCTTGGGAGCTGCGAGGGGAAACATTTCAAATTAAGGAGAACATTCCAGTAATTGGGAGCCCCTGGGACCCCCAGCACAGCCATTTCTAAATGCATTCAAAAGAGAGAGAAGTCTCTCTCCAGGAACGCCCCGTGAAATCGCCGGCAGAGAACATGCTGCAGATTCTTTGGAAGAAGGATGTGAAGCGCTCAGAGGTTGAATGGAGCCGGAGGAAGCCCTGACCGAGCTCTGGCAGCGCCCAGGCCCTGCCCACCAGAGGCCTACAGCACCTCCCCTGCAGGACCCCCATCAGGGCTCTTGGAGCTGAGCCCTGGGCCCCCAGGCTGTCAGTGTGAACAGTCACTCTCGAACCTGTGTGGGCGGCTTCCGCAAACGTTCATGGGCACCATCCACCTGGAAACAGACTTTAAAACACATTTGTCGCCGAAACCGGTTTGCTCAGTGGATGGAGCATCAGCCTGCGGACTGAAAGGTCCCAGTTTCGATTCTGGTCAAGGGCATGTACCTGGGTTGCGGGCACATCCCCAGTGTAAAAAATCAATAAAATATATTTAAAAAAAATAAAATAAAACACATCTGTCTTGGAATGTGGCGGGGGTCACTCAGTGAGTCCATTTCAAAAACAATTTCAAGGACAGATAAGTGAGAACAGTGGGCAGAGCACTCGGGAGCAGCGCTCTTGAGGGGAGGAAACGGACCCAGGGCCCTCCATGGGGCAGAAGCTCGAGACGGCAGCTGTGAACCGGGAATGTTCGATGACCCCTAGGGAACACCGAGTGGGTGAGTTAACCTACCAACTGCCGCCAGGTGCTCCCGCCCCACGTGCCGGCGGCCCGGTGCTCCTGTGATTGCTTAGCGGCGGTTCCTTGGCGGTGCTTCTGAGTGTCTGTGGGTAGAAGGGGGGGTCCCGAGCCTCTGACCAGCCCATGTCCTCGTGCTCATCTGTCAGGAGCCCCGGGGTGGTGGGGCCCTGCTGCCGCAGGTCCTCTCTGCACATAGCTAGTTGGCCCTGCAGGGTCAGTGGTCGGCAAACTCATTAGTCAACAGAGCCAAATATCAACAGTACAACGATTGAAATTTCTTTTGAGAGCCAAATTTTTTAAACTTAAACTATACAGGTAGGTACATTGTTATTCACTTAATTAGGGTACTTCTAAGGCTTAGGAAGAGCCACATTTCAAGGGGCCAAAGAGCCGCATGTGGCTCGAAAGCCGCAGTTTGCCGACCATGGGCTAGACCAGTGGGGCCCCGCCCCGCCCTGCCCTGCAGTGGGGGAGCCATGGCGTCTCAGGCGTGGACACGTCTGGGTTGACTGGTGAATCCTGAGCGAGCTTTGACGTGAGCACAGTTTCTCCCGGGGATGCACTGCTCACCGCCTCGCTTCCCGTTTCTCCTGGGGGCGGGGGGGTGCACGTTCTCCCCACTCCCGGCTTCTGTCATAGCTGCCCGCCGCCGGGACGTGACGGCTTCTCGAACAGGCCGCCGAGAGGCCGCGCCTCTGGTAGTGAGCACTGAGCACACCGCGGGGTAATGAGGCTGGAAGTTTGGGGCAATGCATGTAATGAATTTTGTATCAAGATATGACACAGCTGCCATGATTTGCATTTCACAGTGTGTTGAGAGCAGGTGGTTAATACTTGATGCCTGGGATGTTTAGATGAGGCGATGTAGTTGACACCTACCATTAGAGGACAGGCTCCAAATGCAGGGGAGTCTTCCTCCAGCTGCGGTTTGGTGGTTTAGACCCTGAAGCCTCCAGATGGGCAGGGGCGGAGCCAAGACCTGGAGGAGACAGCTCTGCGCCTGGGCTCCCTGCTGCTGGCCAGAGGGACTCCCGGGGCCCCGCAAGCTGCCTCTATCCCAACTGACCGCTGCCCTTTGCGAAGCTCCAACCAGAGGAAGCATTGGGTAAGTTTTTCTCTCCAGCAGAGAGAGTTCCAGAAAGGCACCCGTCCCTTGCAGGCTGATTCAAGGAGTTAACACCGTTCTGACCACCCAGCAGCCTTCTGTGTATTAGCATGTCTCCTGCGCTCCGCGGGACTCTGCAGTGTGCTTGTTACCGCTTATTTCCTTAGCAGATGCACCTTAAGAACAGTTTATTGGGATAGTAATACCTCTTAAGGGAGACATCATCAGCCTGACTAGAAATCGTGATTATGGGAGAGTCCTGGGGAAAATCTTGCATAGCAACGAAGTCAGTAAAAACCCCCACATGTGGTCCATGTGATGAAAGACAGGACGTTTCCACAGGCCATTGCTGAGCCGCCTCAGCCCTGGGCACACAGAGCTGGCCCTTCCCACCTGGGCCTCACTGTGCTCCCCAGGCCTCTGCCCAGGGCACCTGTCCCCTGACCGCAGCACATGGAGGCCAAAGCCACCTGGGCGCAGCCATGTGGCAGGACAGACCCATATGCAGACTCTGTGGGGGGCCCATGTGTGGTGGGAGGAGCCTGGGGAGCAGCCTCCTGGGTGGAGGTGGAGGTCCCAGTGCCAACCTGGGGAGGGCGGGAGGAGGCAGCTGGCGTTCTCTCCAGTGCCCAGTCTCTGCTTCTGACACTAAAGGCTGGAGCCCCGCCCACCTGGCATAATTGACAGCTTCCCACTTCCCAGCCCTGTGGCCTTGGGTGGATTTCTCCAGGTTGCTGTGCCTCGGTTTCCTCCTCTGTAAAATCCGGATAACAAGTCCGGGATGTAGTAATTGATGCTGGAGCGCGGAGGGGTGTCCAGCGTAGCACAAGGGGCGCCCAGGTACTTGCTGTGGCCGCCGCGCTCTCAGGACAGGTGGCCGCAGGACTGCAGACAAGGCCTGCACCTCTCTGGGCCTCTGAGTCCTCATCTGCAAAATAATGATAATGATAACAATAAGAATAACACGTTGTCATAGGAAGTTGACATGGTGATGAGCGGCAAGGCGAACACCTGGCCCAAGGCGATATTTGGGCAGGAGGGGGAGCTCTTTTGGCTGAAGATCGTCCGCCCTGCGGACCCACCCGTGAGCTCATTGGTCTGGAAAGGCAGGCCGGCGGCAGCCTCGGCTGAGAGGCTCATCTGCAAAATGGAAATCGTGTCCTCACCCCATCTGTCATATGATCAGCGCTCATGACAGCGCATGGCACCGTCCAAAGGAAAGATTTAGCCCTACCAGGGAAACAGCGTTGTCAGAGCCATTGGGAGGCCTCAGACTGAGCACACGCCTCCACGTGCTCGCGTGGCTTCTCGGGTGATGAGAACCAATGCCTCACGCTTGCCAGGAATTCGTTCTGTTGTGTTGTGTGGACTGTCTGCTTCCTAAATTCTCCCTGTTCGGCCCTTCCCAACCAGCCCAGGAACTTTGAGGCTGACCCTCGGAAAGGCCTACCTGAAACCCGTTCGGAAAGAGGAAAGATGAGTGGAAGGAGGCAGCCGGCTTCAGATGGTCCCTTATCACCAAAGGTGCTGACCTTGTCCCCGTACCCCTGGCCTGGGCGGTACTGTCCCAGGGACCCAGCGCCCGGCTGCCGCCCACGCCTGCCTGCCGGGCCTTGTGGGTCCATTACAGACCGGTCCCTACCGCTTCCTCCTGCTTTCTTGGTCCCTGTGCTGCTCTTATGGTCGTTACCTGGGACCAGAAGAGGGCGATCGTGCCCACGGAGGAGAGAGGCCATGACCGCTGTGCTGATGGGCCAGGTTTGCCATGCCCTCTGTACACGGGAGATGGACCGGGGACGGTGGAGAGGCAGAGGGACGGAGGGACGGACATGGGGAGAACCCAGAGGGAGGAATGACAGGAGCAGCCTCCAGACCAGCGAGCTCTCAGCCCCTGGCCAGCGTTGCCCTGGTCCCAGTGTGCCCAGAATGACGCTCCAAACCGGGCACCCAGGCGCAGTCACATGACAGTGTGTAGGACCCACCAGCGGATTCAGAATGAGCTCCTTCTCTCAAGGCCTTCACTCAGGGGCACCTTTTGTCACCCAAGGTCATAGGCACTTGTTTGCCATTAAGGTCACGTCAGAGGACCTAGCGGTTGGGATGGGGACACATTTTGGGGTCCACCATTCTGTCCTCTCCACCATCTCTCACAGGTGAGGTGGGGATTAGAGAGAAGTTACCTGACCCCCTGTCCGCCACCAGGAGGAAGCCACTCTGTGTGCCCGCACCCCATGGGCTCAGCGCAGCAGCTCTTAGGGTCCCCGTCCATCACCACAGGGGCTACGTTCCCAGTCACATCCCTGCCAGTGGCACCGTGTGACACATGGCTCGTAGGCCTGGGGTTGCAGGCGTGACTTAAAGGCTCTTCTCCTGATGGGTGTTTAGATGGACCAGGTCACAGCAAACATCTCCCGGCTCACAGTGGCGGAAACAGCCCAGGCTGTGTCCAGCTCACGCCGGGAGCCCCGGTGAGCCGGCCCCCCCAGCGAGCCCAGGCCGCCGCCTCCTTCTGAGACTGGCTCTGGGCTGGGGTGGCATCCGCTGGTTCATCCCCGGTGCCCTCTGGTGAGACAGCCAGATTGCCCTTTACTTTGTCTTTCTTGCTGGAGCGGAGAGTTGAGAGCAATGCGTCACCTGCTAAATATGGCATCAAGTTCCTCTGTGGCCTATTTCTAAAAGGGAAGAGAGCCGGGGGTTTGCGGGTGCTGCGCGCACTCGGGAGCCTCGCTCTGCCTGCTGCCATGATTGCATGCCCCCTCGTGCTGCTGCCCCGGGAAGCCCCTCCCTCCCAGGACCCACCCCCTGCCCAGGTGCTGTCCAGAGCCACACCACTTCACCCCTGAGGCATGGTAGGGAGGGGTGCGATCGCACTGACCAAACTACTCCCCATCCTTCTCCCATCTTCCTTTTAGGAAGCGACCTGTGAGATCCAGCCAGGGCTCGGCATCCGGCAGAGGTTTCTCTCACGGCCTCTTGCACCGGGGCGACTAGCCCACGCCAGTGGGCATCACAAAAGTGACAGTGCCACCTCTGAGCAGACTCCTCACAGACGGAGCAGCCGGCCCGAGGCCCTGAAACCAGGACATTGGTGGCAGTTGCTGCGGACCTGACATGGACCCCAGGCACGTGGCAGTCTGACCTGCTGGGGGCTGCCCAAGACCATCGGTCCATCTTAAGGCTGTTGGACAAGGGCATTGGTTTCCTAGGACGCGTCACGAGGTACCACAAACTGGAGGCAGCAATCCAAACTCCAGGTGTTGGTAAGGTGACGCTCCCTCTGCAGACTTGAGGGGAGGGTCCTTCCTGCCTCCCTCCAGCTTCTGGTGGTCCCTGGTGCTCCTTGGTGGTCTAGGTGTTCCCCGGTGCTCCCTGGTGGTCCTGGTGTGCCCTGGTGGTCCCAGGAGCTCCCTGGTGGCCTAGGTGCTCCCTGGTGGTCTAGGTGTTCCCCAGTGCTCCCTGGTGGTCCCAGGAGCTCCCTGGTGGTCTAGATGCTCCCTGGTGGTCTAGGTGCTCCCTGGTGGTCTAGGTGCTCCCTGGTGTTCCCTGGTAGTTTAGGTGCTCCCTGGTGGTCCCAGGAGCTCCCTGGTGGTCTAGATGCTCCCTGGTGGTCTAGGTGCTCCCTGGTGGTCTAGGTGCTCCCTGGTGTTCCCTGGTAGTTTAGGTGCTCCCTGGTGGTCCCAGGAGCTCCCTGGTGGTCTTCAACTTACAGCCACAGGCTCCACCTGCAGAGCTCAGAGGCCAGGCTCCCCGGCCCCCACCACGGTCATTGTGAGCTGGTCTCCTCCCGTCACACCCCCATTAATTTCACCAGGCTGAGAGGTATGCTGGTAATTTGCTGTTTTATTTGGCTATTGTTATTTCTTCTTTGGTGAGCTGCTTTGTATCCTTTATCCTTTTTTTCCTATTCAGATATTTAGAACTTTTTTAAAGGACTTTTTTGTTAGTAATTTGAGAAAGTTTCTCTAAGAAAGTCAACCCCTTTGTCCTTTATATCTGTTGTAGATATATTTCCCCCAGTCGAGACAAACCTTTTGTCAGGTGAGAAATTCTAGGAGACATAATGAACACGAATGTCTTTTATTGCAGTTTTCAAACAATATAGACATAGTCTTCAGATGGCCATTTTTTATACTGACCCTCTATAAAGTCCAGTGGCATAAGGCTAAATCATAAACAAGTGGGGACATTTACAGGAAACAAGGACATTGAGGTCTGTGCACATGGCTTTTTCTCCACATTTTTTAAAATTATAAAAGTAATGCACACCAAGAACAAATATTAAAGCAGGGGAGACTGATAGTAAATGAGAAAGCGGAGTTCCCCACCCCCTTTCCACTCTCAGGACTGAACCCTGTGAACAGTTTATGGTTTCAGACCTTGTGTTACCACCAGTAAAATGCCTTCACTTCTGTTTCTGCTTTTGACAGTTTTAAGCAATTTCTGTGTGGCTTCTCAGTATGACGGAGGCGTTTCAGTCATTCCCGCTTCCTGCGTTCTCCCCTTAATTTTATGATTTTGTTTTTAGCTCTGCCGTTTTCCCATGAATAGCTTGGAGCCCTGTGCACGGAGCTCCATTGCTGTGACCCACCTTGGACAGTCTCATGGCTCCCGTCGGTGTTGGGCGAGGAAGTGAGGGCTCCCCTGCTCTGTGCTGTTCTCCCTACACCCTCCTGTTTCAGCGACACCCTAGACTTCAGACCTGGACCCAAATCTCGGATCTTTCTGATGACTTCAGTTTGTACCCCTCCTCGGGGAGAGAGAGACCCACACAGAGAGCACTTGCTGGAAATGGTTTGAGCCTCTGATGTGCGTGTCCTTGCCTTGTCAACTATTTCCGACTCCACTCCCCGGAGGGCTGCCGGCCACCAGGCTCGCAGGGCGCTCCCGCGCAGAGCTGGCGGGGCCTTTGCCTGGCCTGGCAGCCGGCCCGCTAAGACCTGGAATTCGTTCCGCTGCTCCCTGTGTGCTGGCATCTGAGCGTCAGGACGGTGCCTGGCCAG